CAAAGGAGAGGCTATATAAAGAATTATAATAGAAATAACAATCATACAAATCATGATCATTTAAATAGCAATCATACAAATCATGATCATTTAAATAACAATCATACAAATCATGAACATTGATGCATTCATGTTTTTATTCTATTTTTGTTTTGATGTATTTTGAACAATACTAGTTATGTTTTATGTTTTTTTTTAAAGCTATCCAGTGATGGAGAGCATCCAATGATAATGGTAGGAAGTGCTTGGGCATGGCAAGCCTTGGGTTTGCTTGCATTTGAGTCCTTCTTGTCCTTGGGTTGCTTGCTGTTCTCTATTTGGAGCTATTTGCTGCTCTCGGGTTGGGCCTTGGCTACTTGGTGTTGAGCTTAAAAATTGGGTTCTACTTGGTGTTAGCTCATTAATGATTGAGCTGAAGTTTAGCTCATTATTTGGTGGAGTAAATTCACTTCTTAGCTCATAAAATCAAAAAGGTATTCTTCTATATTTAACACATTAGTGTGGAGTGGACTTGTATCTCTTCCCTTCTCCTTATCTTCTCGGTTTTCTCCTGGCTGTTGTTGTTCCCGTGCCTTCTCCTCTCGGTTTTCCCCTGGCTGTTGTTGTTCCCGTGAAAAAACTTGTTGGGGTTCCACCCCCTTTTTCTGGCCTTCTCGGTTTCTGCTGGTTCCGTCCCTTATATCCTGGATGGGGATGAATTTGGAGGATATTTGAGATGCCTTTTCAGTAGCTGTTTGGAATGACTTTTGGCCTTTTATTTCCCCAAAACTGATTGGTTTTGGTTGGAGGTGTTGTGGTTGTTTAGCTTCTTCCTTTTGCCTATAAATTAGAGATGTTTTGAGATGGAAAAGGTTGTTGAAAATCTGAGCAAAGTCTCTACAAAAACCTGAGGATTTCTTCTCTTGGAAAAGCTTGAGAGCTTGTTCCACCCCCTTTCCTCCTCTCTATTTTGTCTTGGCTTCTAATCTCTTCTTCTCTACGCAAGTTCCACTCCACCTGTATCCTTCTTCTTGAGCTTTTGGAAGTTGTTTGTTGGCTGAAATTTGGAGACATTTGTCGGAGGAGTTTGGTAGGACGTTGGACCTTTTTGTAGTGATGGACCCTCAGTTTGCAAGCCTAAGCATAATTGATGTAGGCAAGGGGGGGGTCAACTCAAATCCTATTATTTGATTTTTGACTCATCTAGCTCATTAATGTCTAGTAAAAAAATTAGCTCATTATGAGCTGATTTTTAGTTCATTTATTGAACTAAAAATTAGCTCATTATTTCTTAAAAAGTTTTTTTTTTCTCTTCCCCCCTTTTCCTTGTCCCTTCCCCTTCCCCTTTTTTTCTTGTCTCTTGGAAAACCGTGGCTTGTATTAATTGGGGGCTGAATTCTATGTTTTGAATTTATTGGAAAGTTAATGTTTTTAATGCAGCCGGTTGATATTTCCATGCCTGGGCCTTTTTTCCATGAACTTTTGGCTCCAGAGAATATAAAGCTTTGATGGGATGCTTGCTTACCGTGACATGGGCTCTTTGGTTCCATGAATTAGCCCTTTGTTTCCTGTGCTAATTTTAAATGGGGCTGATTTCCAACAGGAATGAATTGTTCCTGATGCTTTGCTGTTTTGGACGGGCTGCTTGCTTTATGGAGCCGTGAGATATAATTGTTTCCTATAGCTTTTTCTTCAGATTTAATAATGGGCTGATTTCTGAAAAGGAATGCTTTTTCCTGTTAATGTGCTGCTTTGAAAATTCAGCCTGTCTGCTTGGTGCCGTGAGTTACCAATGATTCCTGCTGGGATGTTTTCCTAAGTGGCTTTTGGAAAACCTATGGGATTTGCTGCTTTGGAATTGAAGTGTGTCTTTTGGCTTTTCCTATCCCTAAAGTTTATTGGAGGAATTATGGGTGCATTGGCTGTTGGGCTTTCTTCTTTGCTTATAAGTATGAAATGCTTTGGCATAAGATGTGATGAAAAAATAGAATGATGTGAGTTATTTTTGGGATAAAACCTGAGTGGTTTTTGGCTTTAGAAATCCTGCGGGCTCTTTCTAAGCTTCTTCCCCTCCTCCTCCGGAAATCTTGCGGGCTCTTTCCAATCTTCGTCTCATCTCCTAATCTCTTTCTTCTCTCCATAGTATCCATTCCATTGTATCCTTCTTCTCAAGTGAAGCAATTTTAGGGTGTCATTTTGTTTGTGTCAAAGTTTGAAGCGTCCAAATTGTAAGTGTCTTGTAAGTGTCATTTGAGTCAAAAGTTTGTAAGTCGTTTTTATTATATAAAGTTGTGTTTTATAGTATTTGTGTTCTTTTAAGTATTTTATGTCTTTCTATCATCCTAGAAAGAGTATTGCTTTTTGTGATCAAAAATTTGGGTCCCTCTCCCAAATTTTTGATTGCATCAATAATTTTCATATATTTTCCTACTCTCGTTGCATGTGAGGAAACCGCTAGACAGTTTTTCTGAGGATAGTGTTTTTATGTTATTATTTTGTTTCGTTTGATTTTACTTTTGTTTCTCCGAATGTTTGTTTGGTTGTTTGCAAGCTATAGTGAATCAAGTTTGGTTTTATTTTGTCCTTGTGTTCTCCAACTTGGCTTTTCTCTCTAGTTTGCACGCATCAAACATTTAAGACTAAAATGGTGGCATATACATCAAGACAGCTAAAAGCTCATGAAATAAATTGTCCCAACCATGAAGTAGAATTAGCATGGTGATTTTACACTTAAGATATAGAGATATTATTTATATGAAATAAGGTGTGAGGTCTTTATATATCATAAAAGTCTCAAATATATATTTAGTAAAAAGGAGCTTAATTTAAGACAGACTGACAGAGACAACGGTTACAACTTAACAAGGATTATGATTTAAATATACAGTATCATCCTGAAAGGACAATTGTGATTTCATATGCATTAAATAGAAAGACTTATAGTAGTGTAAATTGATTACTCACACAACAGAAGCAGATAATAAAAGATATGAAAAGATTCAGATAATAAAAGATATGAAAAGATTAGGAATTTCAGTAATAAATTATGAAGGTGTAAAATTCATGTATTTAAATCAAATGATGATAAAATCAACATTGAAAAATCGGATATGTAATTTTTTATCTCAACATATTGGTTCCAATAAATCATAAGGTGAAGGCAAGACAATAGTTAAGATTAAGAGAAACTGTTGAAATATAAAGACACAATCTACATCCCAAATGTTAACAATTTAAGAGAAAAAATATTGCAAGAAGCACATCTCTCTAATTATATCTTTCATCAAAGCAATAATAAAATGTAACAAGAGCATGGAAGAATATTTTTGTGGTCACGATTAGAAAGAAATATCGTAAAATTTATGAAAAAATATATTATATGTCAAATAATTAAAGCAAAGCATCAAAAGTTAGATGGGCAATTGCAACCTTTACTAATACCTAAATGAAAATGGGATGAAATTACAAAAGAATTTGTAATTGGATTACCTAGGTCAAGACAAAGACATGATACTATATTGTTTATTATAGATCAATTAACAAAGTTCGCTCATTTCTTGCCAATCAAATAGATTGATTCAGTGAAAAAAAATATCATAAGTATATGTTGATACAATTGTGAGATTACATAGGCTACCAAAAACTATATTTCCTAATAAATATATTAGATTTGCCTCTAGATTATAAACGAAGATTCAAGAAACTTAGGATACTAAATTGACATTCAGCATTGCATTTCATCCTCAAACAGATGGACAATAAGAAAGGACAATACAAACTTTGGAAGATCTACTTCAATTGTGTACTGGATTTTAGTGGAAATTAGGAATCACATTTACCCATAATAGAATTTGCTTAAAATAATAGTTTTTAATCCAGTATCGAAATGGCATCATATGAAGCTTTTTATGTGAGAAAATGCAAGACTCCTTTATGCTAGGTAGAGGCAAGAAAAAGAAAAGTTATCGGTAATGAGTAAGCGGATATGCTACTAATAAAATTAGATTAATCATAGACATATTGAAGGAAGTACAAGATAGATAATGAAAAAATTATGATGCAAAGCACAATCAAGTTGAATTTGAAGTTAATGAATTCATTTTTATTAAAGTCAGCATAATGAAAGATGTGTAGTGTTTTAGAAAGACAAGGAAATTGAGCCAACGATCTGTTGAACCTTTTGAAATTATTGAAAGGATTAGAAATGTCTTACAAGTTTGTTAGTTTTGCCAGTGCATATACAAGAAATACATAATCTTTTTCACATATCTAAGCTTTGAAAATAAATCTCTGATAAGTCAAAAAGGATTTTGCTGAAATTAATTAAAATGCAGCCTAATTTAAAATGTTAAGAACCTAAAAAAATACTACAATATGATATAAAATAAATAAAGAATCAATAGACATCATTTGTATGTAATCAATGAAAATATTAAACAGAAAGAGAAGCGACATGAGAAAAATAATCAAAAATGAGAGTTCAATATTAGCATTTATTCCACAAAGGTATGTCTTTTAATTTACATTTATATTTATTTACTTTTAATTTAAATTTGGATAACTAAATTTTTATAAGGAGAAATTTTTAGAACTGGACCAGTTCAATTGAACAAGTCTTCTAAAGCAAGAGAGCAGACGATTGCGGATGAGAGCAAAGCAGGCGAGCGAGTGATATGAACCTGATTCAATTCCTTAATTCTCGGGAATAGATTAGGTAATTTTAATTAATGTTCAGACAGTATGAAATGGTTCGTAAGTACGATCAGTGAAATTTTGAATTTTCAAATTTAACTTTTTTATTCAATTTAAATGAGAATTTGACTCTTAATAAGACACAATGGAGAAAAAAGATTCACGTAAGCTGACCCCACATAGTGGGATAAAGGCTTGATGTTGTTGTCGTTGTTGATTTATTAAACATTTGAATTAACTTCTATTTGAAGTTTTGAACAAATTGTATAGTACAATGTTGATCGTACATTATGATATAGATAGCACGATACGATTAACAAAAAAATTTAAGTATTCAATTTCTCTCCCCCTTATAAATATGTGCTTGATTGCTTAGCAAACATACACATAATACAGAAAATGACACAAGAAAAATAAAAAGTACAGACATGCTAAACACAAACTAACTTATATATTAACGCTACACTATCATAAATCTTGAATCTTCAAAGTTGCTCGATGTATGCTCTTCCTGAAATGGTTAGTAATATGCATGAAAATTATCTAATGTATAAAACAAGAATAAGAAAATACTCATCCAATAATATTTGCAATCATCAAAATAGATGGTCGGTCTGTCGAATTGCAACATCCTTTGGTGGGTAAATGCCCGACATTTCTCAGTTTTGGGAGAAAAGTAAGAAGGAGAGAGAGAAGAGTTTAGGTGAGGATAAAAATATAGTGTGCGTGCAACAGTATATATTTCCTTTGCCAAAAATAGGAAAGTAATTTATAGTTTTATTTTTTGTTCTTTAGGTGAAGGAGAAAGAGTAATTCATGTGCTTGACAGAGAGATGCAGGAGGAAGAGTAAGGAAATTTTTTAAGAGGAATTTAGGATTTGCTAATTTTTATTAAGCAATATGTTGTTTTAATCAACAAGAAGAAAGAAATAATACACCGTGATTCATATGATTTTAGCTCAACAAGAAAGAAGCAAATTTGACGCAAAAGATGCAAGTTTTTTAAATGAAAAATTCGACAAATTTCAAGGAATACTATATGCAATGTAATCAGAAATATAATTTGTTAGTTTAGAAAAGTTCGACATTTGATATATTGTAGTTGATGACATCTAACATGTTTGATAATAATTTGATAATATTTAATTTCTTCAAGATTTTGGGTTTAACAATTTCTAATTCAAGTTAGTGCTATTTTGGACAAAAAAGAAAATTTAACTGCAGAGCTGTGGCAAAGCACCGGAATTAAGAAAAGATTCCTAAAGAAATTTAGGTATGCTTTTAAAATAAAAATGGTGAATTAATTGAAATTAATGAAAATATAGTTATAAGATAACAGTGCAGATTCATGTAATTGTGTATGTGACCTTAGGTGTTGCATTAAAAAAGGTCTTATAAAGTTAGAAGGAATTTAAAAAAGTGTCAACACATGAAAGAGAAGTAAAGTAGGTGATTACATTTATTTTATAATAGCTTTTTCCTAATATACTTTAATGAAATAATTTGATACTGAGTCATGCCTTTGTATAGATTAAATTCTAAAGTACTTATTAAGCAATATGTAGAAGAATATTAAGCAATCAATATTATAATATGATATATACAAATATATAAGCTGTTTATACAAATTGATATGCATATATAAAGGAATATGATATGAATAGAATAAATCATAATACATACATGAAAATATTAAAAGGAATAAGGTATTGTTAGCTCTGGAAAAATATATCTTTGTGAGCCTCGCTCTCACAAGCTTAAGGTCTCCTTATTTTCCCATAGGAAGATTGGATTTAAAATTTAACCTGATTTTCCAAAAGAGTAGTGTCAGGGTTTATTCTACTTTCTACGAGCATAGGCGCTGATATAATTACCCCTTCTAACGTATGAAGAGCACTCTCGATTAAGGATAAAATTATATTTAGTCTGCACATGAAGTACAGATATGTGTGCAACAGTATATGAATGTTCTAAACCCCAATTCTAGTGGATGAAGATAGACCCGATCAAGATCTTATGGTTCCATCATCCCGGGAATACTGTAGGAGTTTGAGTTTTAATATGAGTTGTTCATAATCAATTAGTGGAACATTTAATTCTACATTTTTTTTATTTTTTTTAATTGCATTAATTAATTAGATTAATTAATTAAAACAATTCTTAATTGAAGTTAAGTTTTAATTTAAAATCAATTGCTCAACTCATTAATTAAATGTATTTAATTATTTAAATTGATTTGATCAATTAATTTAGTGAATGTTAAATGTTTAATTTAAAACAAATATGATTTAAATTTGCTCTTTAAATTTCATTGATTAAAGATTCCATTTAAATTAATTTAAGCTTTGATTTATTTTTAATTTGAGTTTTAATCAATTTTAACTTTAGCTTAAAATTGGATTTTTGATTGATTGTTTTAATTAATTAGGTTGATTAACTAAAACTTAAATTAAAATTTTAATTGGCTCATTTATTTGGTTAAGGTTTTAAATTTTTAAGTGTCAATTGCTCAATTTAATTATATTATTAATTAAATTGTTCATTAAATTGATTCAAGTTTTAATTTTAATTAATGATTTGATTTTATAAATCTTTCATTTACTTAATTAGTTATCTTGGGAATTTAAAAAAGTATTTTATTTCTGGTTATTTCTTAACTTTAATTTTATTAATTATTGAAATTAATTGAGCTTTAATTTTAGTCTTAATATTAATTTAATCATTAACCCATTATATGTTCTGTTATTTTTAAATGATTCGTTATTTAATTAGTTAATTATCAATTAATATTTTTAATTGATTAATTAATATAATTAATTAAGATTCCTTTGCTCGATTCAATTAAAATTACTAATTGGTTTAGTACTTAGTTAAGAATTAATCAGCTCCATTAATTTGGAATATTAAATTCTAAATTAAAGTGTTGATTAGTCAATTAGGTCAATTAATTACCATATTTAGTTGTGAGGTTTAATTTTAGATTAATTAGTTTATTAATTAAACTACTCAATTAGATGAAGTAATTTAATTTTTAAATTGACTAATTAATTGTTCTAAGGTGGTGGCTATCCACTGATTGAAGGCATATAAGTCACTCTGAGCATGGTGGAAATCTGATTTATAGTTAAAACCTTGCCAATTGAGAGAACGATGCCAGTTAACCATGTTTCTATGGCCTATCTAGCTTGCTCATAAGTCGTAGCCGATAGTGTCATATTTTCATCTATTATATTTATCATTTTCACATGCTGATGCATTGCAATCCGATTCATAAATCTTGATTCAATGCCTCCAACTTCTTCCCTTAGCTACTTATTAGCTATCAATTGTAGAAGGAATACTTCAAATTTGTAAATCTCTTTAGAACTTGATATGTAGGCAAAGGGGGGGGTCAAATCAAACCCAAAAAATTTTGGTTTTGACTTCCCTCGAGTCTTGTTTGAGTCGCTTGAGTGTCAAGTTTGTAAGTCTTTTATTTTATATAAGTAAAGTTTGTGTTTGTTTAATTTGTCTAGTTTTTATGCTTTTCAGAGCAAGTTAGGAAGTCCTAGATTTTTAAGTTGTTTGTCAAGTCAGGTCTTGTTGTGTGAGTTTTGTGAGTCATGTGAGTCTAAGTTTTTTAGGTTGAGTCTTTATTTGAGTCAAGTTTATTGTTGAGTCTTTCTTTTAAAAATGGAAAAGGACAAAAAGATCGAAGAAAGCAAGCCAGATGAAATTGAAGAGATGGATTCCATCAAAATCATCAAATCCTCAGTAGTATGAACTGTACAAACTTCAATTTCTGAAAGAACGAGAAGAGATCCTGAAGAAATATGAAGAAAAAATTAAAGAATTGGATGCTCCGTCTTCACCTCCTCGGAAGAAAACAAAAGCTAATTCATCGGGAGATGAGTCCTCAAGAAGGGGAGCCTGATGTAGGCAAAGGGGGGGGTCAAATCAAACCCAAAAAAATTTGGTTTTGACTTCCCTTGAGCTTGCTAGCTCAATAAATTTTGAGCTAAAATTTAGCTCATTATGAGCTGGTTTTTAGTTCATTTATTGAACTAAAAGTTAGCTCATTATTAGCTAGGTTTTAGTTTATTTATTATCTTATTTATGTAGTTTTTTATTTATAGTTTTATCTCTTAAAATTCTGAGTTGTCCCTTGGGATTCCAAAATGGCTTTTGGATTTCCTATGTTGGTTGTTTTCCGTACTTGGCTCCTTGGCTTTCCCGGTTGGCTGCTGGGTGGCCTTTCCCGTGCTTTGGTGCCTCGGTTCCGTGCGGGCCTCTTGGGTTTCCGCGGCTGCCTCTTTGAATCCCTGGATGGGCTGTTTCCCATGGATGATGGGGGGCTTTTCCGTGGCTTTGGTGCTTTGTTCCTAGTGTTGAATGTTGGCTTTTCATATTCCCTATTTAAATAAGCTTAAATTAATGTTTTGGGGCTGTTTGTATTCCCCCCTCTTGTCTATAAAGATAAGATGTTTTGTGGATGTTTTAGTGTGATATGTGAGTGATTTTTGGAGCCTAAACCTGCGGGTTTCTTCGTGGAAAATCTTGCGAGCTTGTTCTATTCTCCTCCTCCTCTAGGAAAGCTTGTGAGCTTCTCCTCCTTCGTCTTGGCTTCTAACCTCTTTATTCTATCCGCAAGTGCCACCCCACCTGTATCCTTCTTCTCAAAGAAATGCAACTTTAGGTGTTCGTCTTGTTTGAGTCGTTTGTAAGAGTTGTAAGGTGTCTTGTTTGAGTCGCTTGAGTGTCAAGTTTGTAAGTCTTTTATTTTATATAAGTAAAAGTTTGTGTTTGTTTAATTTGTCTAGTTTTTATGTTTTTTATATTCTAGAAAGGTTTTATTTTTCTAGCAAAAATTTGGGTCCTACATCAGAACTACTATTTGGATGATCATGATCCTTAAGTTTCAAAATCAAGGGCTCCCTACCTCTTAGCCACCTAGAAAATTAATTAATGAAACTTTCCGTTTGAAAATTTACTAGTCTTTTGACAAAATTTCGTCAGCCTCCCGACATACCATCCCCGTGATGGGAGGTAGCGGAGGGCACTTGCCCTTTCAAATCGACGACCAAGAGCTTCGGGGGAGCAAATCAACCCTGGGACATCCTTCGATTTGGAGTTTGAGTGCTTCTTGCTCTTTATATATATATTATTTATTTTTATTATAAATTGTTGTACATATATTATTTATATGCATATAATTATAATTATTATAATAATCATATACATAAAATTCCTCTAACTGTTCCAAATTGAGAATATATTGGGCGTGTGGAACGAACTGAAAGGACCGACTCAAGTCTTTGTTCGCGTGAATCGAGTGAGCTCCGACGCAGGCGGAATTGGCGTCTGAGATGGACAAGTGAAAGCCATTAATGTATGACCTGTTTAAGCAAGGAGGAAAGGGGCGGACGCTGGGTGCTGGCTGTTCGCATGAGTGAAACCAGACAAGAGCAAGGTATTTGAAAGATTCAGACCTATAGAGAAGGAGAACAATGCAGGCTATTCACATATTGGGAGGTGTTCGCTCGGGACGATCAAATACATGAGGAGATCGTCGGTTGCGCTTTGCTTGCGATCGTAGGTTTGGAATCGAGCAGGACATCTCACACAAGAGGATCGTAGACAGATCGTGTTTCTTGTAATCAGCTTCAGATCAGAGACAAACGAGAAGCTCGAAATCACGAGAGAAGAAAAACCAAAAAACTAGAATTTCGATTGAATCAGAACGTAAGTGGGAATGTAAAAAAATATGCTCATTCTCCTTTACTCTATTATACACGTATAGGCTGACAGTTATTTCGACCATGATGTAACGACGTGGGCAACGTGTGTTGTGGCTTTGCAGGCGTGTTGTAGTTAGTATACATTATGCATATTTTTGATATATATATGCATATATTTATTCCAGCACGATAAGGCAAAAATTATCATTGGATCATTGAATTCATCCTTTTGTAAATATCAAATGAATCCCCTTGCAGGTATTAGCGAATTATTATTTCAAATTGATATATTCATGAAGATGAGTATTGCATGTATTTGCTGGAAATGAACAATACAAACTCAATGACATTTTCGGTTATGAGTATTTGAGAGGCTTAATAAGATTTGAGCATTAAGGATCTATTTCTTGAGCTAACTTGTTATTTGTTCGCTATATTTAAATTGAGGAAGCGTTCATTGCATTTTCCAGCTTTCCATTAGCAAGCAACACATATTATTACTTCATCTCTCCTATTACATTGTTGGGATTTTTACATACATAACACCTAAAACTATTCTATTTACATATCTAACACCTAAACTATAATATTTACTTATCTACCACCTAAATACCATTCTCTTCATCTAAAATAACACTCTGTTACCTCCGGTTAAAACTCCCATCTCCCTTCGCCAAATCAGGTCATCTCGTGCCTTCCACTCCCACATTCTTTAGGTTTGCTTTTTCATTTTCTCCATTTCCTCATTGTTGAGGCCTAAGTGCTTCAGATAGAGTCGCACGCTCCGAGCTTCTCCTCCTTAACGACAATGTTGTTGTTGTCGAATTAAAAACAATCTCATCGGCAAGGTAACGAAATTTCTCTCCTTTGTCATGCTTCTTCAACTAGATCCGCTAAGAAAGTTGATTTTTTTGTCTTCAGCTAGATCCGCTAAGAAAGTTGAATTTTTTGTTTGTTTCGTTGTTATTGCTAGGTTATGTAAATGTACAACTAAATCCGCTAACAATTAATTCAAGCTCCAGCTCATTCAAAAGCAAGAACACTTGGAAGTATACTGTGGCAGAAACGGCCCTCCTAATGTTTATAGTAATTTGTCTGTTGCTGTATTCTTGTTGGCACAGAAGCCATTCATCTTATCAGAGGGAGCTGATTTCACATGTTGCTTCATCTGCCCCTAAAGGAGGCAACGAATCACTTCCTTAAGTGAGGACGAGGCGTGAGATGGTAAGTTTAGGAGATGACAAAAAAAAGGAGCTAGAAGTGACCGGCGGCGGTGGAAAATACCCAATCTCACGCCTCCAGCCATAATTTAATCATCACAATCAGGCGATGAGAAGGATTCGATGTGGAAGGGAGATGACGACTTGGAGGGTATCGGCGTAGGGGTTTCCTGGAGAAGCTAGAGGGTTGGGAAAAGAGAAAGAGAGGAAATGAGAAGGGATGAAACTCTCAAACACATTGCAGTGTTGATGCCTTCTGCACACATTGCATTTGACAAGAAAAGAATTATGAAGCTTAAATTGCTCGACGATTTCCTTCCAGCGAATGAAATGGAAGACGACGCTGGGCGGAATTTTTGACAGGGCGTAAACGAAGTGATAAAATTGAGAAAAAAAGAGGTTTTATGTGGTATATAAGTAATTACAACATTTTGCGTGTTAAATATGTATTTTCAATTATTGCAAGTGTTATGTATGTAAAAATCCCTACATTGTTTGGTTATGGAGTTTCCAAATTTGTTGCAATTAACATAGATTTCAAAACCCTGTGGTGGAACTTCATCTACGATAGGAGTAGTGATTGATAGATAGTTTGTTCTTGCCTCTATTTAATTCTTGTTTTGCTTATCTTTTGCTTTGAATGATACATGTTGATTAAGAGGCTAAAAATGTCATCTTCAAGTAGTTTGATATGTAGAAATTAAAAAACCAATTCAGAACATCAACTTTTCTTGTCCTAAAGGTTACAAAGCAATATTAAGTAAATATAAATCCATCTAGCCATAAGCTCATGCTTGACATTGAAGAACAACATACAAAAAGAATTATAAATATAACTTGCAAATGCATTAAATTATTGATGAATCAATTCGTCATAAATTGCAAAAAGAACACAGATAAACCTCCAAAGTTTGGCGATAATGAACCAGAACAATGTGCTCCAATTTCCTGAGGAAGAAACAACAAGTTAGCTGACAAAAGTGCTTAAAGCTTGTAAGCTAGAAAGTAGCATAGGGATTTATCATAACTACATGCAATGTAATTCAAGGAAATAAACTTTAGCAAGATTAAGCATGAAAATATATATATATATATATACATATATACATATATATACATACTTATAAGTGTTAAAGTAGAAAAATATAAATATGATAAGAAACAACATACCAAAATAAGGAAACAAGGCTCTCAAGTGGTGAGGACCACAAAGTGATTTCCATACAAAATCTTACACTTTCAATAGTTCAGAAACATACTAGGGACTGAGAATATCCAAAAACAACCAGAAGAAAAGAGATTCAGAAAATCTATAATGAAAAACCACGGATCCCACCAAATGCAAACCGTCTAAGTAAAGTAAAGTATATGAGGACAAGACCTCAGCCCCCTTCGCTGATATAGGATTATTTAATATAAGAATATGGACAAAAAACCTATGGTGTACCAATGCAGACACATCAGCACCGATACAACATGATACGGATATGGGATACGCCAATTATTAAAGTACAGGACACAGGTACAGGGTAGACACGACATTATAATTTATAAATCATGCATTAAAATTAAGAAATCAATCAAAGCATGATATTTAAAATGACAAAAAAATATTAAATAAACATCATAATTAGTCTTATAGCTTATAATATCAAAATAAAAGCAAGCATAAAATGTCTAGTATAACATCAAAAACATAAACATAAACTGTTAATGCAATCAAAAATTTGGGATGGGGCCCAAATTTTTTATCACAAAAAACAAAATCTTTCTAGGATGATAGAATAAAGATATAAAATGCTTAAAAGAACATAAATACTATAAAACACAACTTTATATAATAAAACGACTTACAAACAAAGACTTACAAACTTGACTCAAACATGACACCCTAAACTTGCTTACTTTGAGAAGAAGGATACAGGTGGGGTGGTCACTTGCGGAGAGACGAAAGAGGTTAGAAGCTGATAATATCTTCAAATAATAGTAATATAAAATAGAATTAGATAATCATTATTTTAATTGGACATATTTTTGTCATGTCTGACACGTGCCCGAGCTTTTTATCAGGCGGGTGTCTGTGTCCAACATGTGTCTAATACAACATACCTCCATAAATAGGTGTATCGATGCATCATAGTCAAAAAACATGACCTAAGTTTCAAAGTTGTCAAAAGGAAGAATAGAGGTAAAATAGATATCCACAAAAAAGCTTGGCTCCTAGTCAGCAAAAGGTAATCGATGAATGACCATGATAGTGTCCAAACATCCATCAAAAAAGGATGCAAATTGTTGTACAACACGGTGTTCCTATCAAATTGTTGCACAGCCTGCCACATCAATATTCGTTGCTAACATCCTCAACAAATTGTTGCCCCAATGTTAAAAGTTCTACAGTTGGACTCATGCAGAGGGTTGACATACCAATTTTGAGCACCTAGTCAAATTTAAGACCATGATAGTCCTACACACAATGTTAGATAAGATCAAATACTGAATTTTGTTGACCACCTAAAAGGATACAGCCTTTCCAAGCCAATACCACAAGAATATTTCTTCATAAATTTTTACAAGTAGCTTATCACCCTACCTTACAAAACCACAAAAAAGATGTCAGAACCTTCTTTGTCCTGAGGTCACGAGAAAAATGTAGGAAATATCTTATATGGATCCTTTAGTGAGCATTTCTGTGGGTTGCAAATCCACTCACCTCCAAGATGTAATCAAGACCATAAACATGTGAATACAAGTACTAAGATCTCATCATAAGTTAATTTTATTCAATAGAATGGGATGCAAATGTAGAACCAATCATTTCAAACCAAATTAATAACACAAACCATAATTCACTCAGTCCAAAGAATCTACATGACTCTAGAACATCGATGCTTGACTCGGTAAGAACCAGACAACCATATGAGATGATCAACAGGCATAACCAACCCAATTCCACATCCCCAAACACTTCCCCACATATCTAGCATTAAACAAGACCAGTGCAACTGTTCAGTTTTTAGGCAGTGAATGACACAACTACTCATCCACATAACTTCTGCCCATTCTGTGTTAATAAAAGGCATAGCAAGCATTGACATATTAAGCTTGTCGCTAAATCCAAATTCGTGAATAAAAATCTCTAGTTTACATAAAGGAAATCTAAGAAATTTTGTTAACCTCGTCACAACAGATACAACCAAATAATTCTATAAATATCTTCCTTAATTTACACCATGGATATCGGATGCATCTTGGAAGTAAAAACAGCAAAATAGGTAGACGAAAAATGCAGGAATACAAATATGGGGGCTGATTTTTTACTACTTCTTCAACAATATTGAAAAATACAATTGACCAACTATACGAGAGGTAGATCGGCTCTCCCACAAACCCTAGCCGCCACTAGGAAACTCACACCAAACCCTAGAAAATAAACACAACACATATCTCATGATAACCCCAGATAAAACTACCCCTTAAATAGCCCTTACACACAATAAACACAATTGGAATCTTCCTAAACAGCATAAACACAATATGGAAACCTTCGTAAATAATTTAAACCTTGCTAAACAGCATAAACACAATTAGGAAACCTTCCAAAACAATCAAAACATTTCTAAACAACAAAAATACAACTAGAAAACCTTCTTAAACAATTAAAACATTCCTAAACAACATGAATACAATTAGAAAACCTTCCTAAACAACTCCCCTTGATTCCTCCTCATATAATGAATAATAAGTTCCTTAGGCCCCACACAGGGGTCTGAACTTCCCCTTCTTGCTACCACTAGTTCCGCCCAGCCATATGGCAGGTTCGACCTAGGCTCGGCTAAGCTAGTTCGAGCATATCAATACCCCCACACACACACCAAAAAAATAATAATAATAACAAAACGCATCTTATCCTCAAGATGGAAGGATAGAAACCATCTCCTCATCATCTCGTAGTGCTCTCATATGGCTTCATACTCTGAAAAATCCTTCCACTTAAAATATAAGCCCCATCCTTCGGGCAATTCCTCCAACAAGCGTTGTTGGAATGTAAGCCCCAATCTTCTAATAAAATATCAACTTAAACCCAAAAGTAGGTTGTTAAAATGTAAAGCCCAACATAAGATAGTTTGGGCACCTCTGAGTTTCATCTCAGAATCAAGTGCCCCCCTACTTCACCTCTTTTGGCTTTCATTCCCAAAAATCTGATTCTAAGTTAATCAACCTCTTCCTTGAAATTCTAAAGGACCAAACCCTTTAACCAAGACTTTCACAGATTTTAAAACAAAAAAAAGCAAACTTTAGCCAATGTCTAAAATGACTTCCAAGAAAAGCAAAACCACTAGTTTAATCAAAAGTTTTCCTAAACCAAAGTTTGGGATGTAATTAACCATAGGGGCTTGCCCCTATGGGACGTCTGTACCCCAGAAATAAATAAACACCGCTTGACCAAACATCGAGTGGGGGAATCTCTGTTAATAATTGTAAATTTTATTATTGAGTCTATAAGGAAATGGTATTTTTACTCTTCGGGTAATATATCATATTCTTATGTCATACTCGATTATAAAATATGCAATCCGTTTGAGGATGCAAAAAATTCTCCAACAACAAGTGAAAGGCAAAATCAAACAATTATAGACCCCCGCACCTCTTTCAACAAACATCAGATCTTTTTAATATAGAGTGCAACCTAATTAAAGAATTTTAAAATTATAGAGGTCACACTGTCCTTGATCCAAACAAGAATTAAAACCCTCATGGTCAACTTCTTAATGCTAATGTTACTGACTCCATTTACTGAGTAGGGCTGGAGCTGTGGGCTCCGAAAATTCGGCCCCGGCCTCCCCGCCGCGCTTTTTCTTTATTTTATTTGAGCGAGGGAGTTTTAACGAACTAAGTTCCGGGGTAAATTTTGGAAGGCAGATGGGTTTGTAGATAAGACACTACCCAGAGATTTCACCCTCATTTTGTGAGGACTTTATGATCTGAGTTCTGGTTTCCTATAGGCGCAAGCCCCTATAGTTAATTACCTCTCTCGATCACGAGAGAGAACTTTCGATTAAGGCTAGTCGTCAATCAGATACGTATAGTATACGTGTTATCCAACATATAGTAGCAGCAATGGGTTTGGATATTGGTAGAAATTGGATTTGGAAATTGGGAATTTGGAGATTTTGCTATTAAAATAGAAATTGCACCATCTAGCACTTAAAGCGGATGGTGGGGGAATGGATGATGGACCCGATCAAGATCCCATGGTTCCGTCATCCCGGGCCATCGTGGTCCCTGGTCTACTTAGTCAGAGGAGGTAGTCGACCCAACCTGACAGAAGGATCCTTGTCAGCAGCCATGGGTTGCTTCGTCCAAGGAAATCTTGTAGACCGGGGTTGATGTTTGTCTAAGGAGACAAATTTAAATCCACTTAGCTTGCAGAGGGCTTTGTGCCCTATCGATCATACCTATTGATTCATATCTCAATGATTTATGCCAATAAGAGCGTATTGGCTCTGGCCATAACCGGTATATTGTGGTGCCATTTGGCGACAAAATCACTCAGTTCAGAGGCCCCGGGTCATCGTAACCGTTTATCCTGCGGTGCCATTTGGCGGCAGACCGCCGGTTAGAGGACACGTACCACGTCCTTACTGGCAGGAGACTATTTGAGAATGGATCCTAATAATATTTTTGACTAGGCATTTGGCTCTTTGTAAGCTGAAGTAATTTTTAAATTTGTCCACCTCGGCAAACTATTGCGGAGGGTGGAATTTAGCTTTGAGTGTTGATGGTAGATTTCAATTTTTAAATATTTTAGAATTTGGGATTTGTGGAGTTTGGATTTTGAATGGACTTTTGGGATGCATTTGAAAATGCTTGAAATTAACCCCTCCGGTTGAGATAGGAAATCAACACGGCCATCATCGGGGTGTTTGGGGGTCATTTCCATTCGATTGAACCTTGTCGACCCTATCAACTTATCGATAGAGGATCGGGTTTCTCGTAGGCTTGTGCCTTTGTTTATAATTTCTTGATTTTAGGCCTTGAAGGCCGAATATGAATGCATTAAAAAAAATATTCCGATCACATTCGTGACCGTATATTTATTCAATATCTCGAACCCTGTCTACTCCTATTACTACTTAGGAGGATCGGGTTTCGTAGGCTTCATGCCTTTGTTTATGAATTTTCTTGATTTTTTTTTTCTTGAAGGCCTAAAAAGAATGTATTTAAACAAATACACCGGTCGCTACAACCGTGTATTTTGTTAGGTAGTTCGAATCTTGTCGACTTCTATTGATCCGTATAGAAGGATCGGATTCGAACTTGAATTCACTTGTCAACCCGCGTAGCATCCATAGGCGTCACGTGTGTACCAATAACACGCTCGCCAGGGCCCATGCGGGTTGAGATTGTATTTACCACCTTGTGTACCGTATGTGTATACAAACTACGGTGCACGTGTAGGGGTATTTTGAAATATTGTAGTTGTGCATGTATTTGTCATTTTGAATGCACAACATTTCCTTGAAATCTTATACACGCCTTTCTGCCTGCTTTCATAAGTGTTTGCAGATCGTGGCGTTGGATTTTGATGTTGACTCCCCCTTTCTCAATTCACCAGGGGAAGGTTTTTTCTGAACTTTGAGTCAATGACTACTGATTTGGGGAGAATCCTTTTGGGATCTTCGTGTAATGAAACTTGTTATTTTCGGTGTTTGTGAACACCCGAACTGTTCAATTCTTAATTATAGAACTAAAAAGAGACTTTGAGAACACATGGAAGTTTGGTTCTAATTTGTTCAAACATTTCCTCCTTCTGCCAGGGGGTGTCCTTTTTGTATATAGAGTCGCTCTTGTACTCGACATAGTTGGAGATTTTGGTCACCGCTGTCGTAGGTGATATCTGTACTTTGGTCCACAGTGATTCGTTGTTCTTCAATACACTGTTGTTACCACAAAGTGATTTGTACTCATTTGTAGGGATCCGTTTGTTACTTACGACCCCCTAGCGGTATTGTAGAGAGCCCTTGGTTTTGTATTGAAACCACCTTTCACCAATCTCAGGTGGTTTGATTGTACTTGTTTGTAGGGGGCGGATCCTCCATAATTGGTCTCCCGTATCGTCATCTCAATCAACAGGCACTTGTAGGGATGTTATAGGAATTAACACATCTTTCGTGGTGCACCAGGATTTTCATCCCCCTTGTAACTTGTTAATTTAGAGAACTGTGCATTAAACTCTGATTGGTTCATTCACCAAGTCCCAAATTCTATGTAATTCCAATCGGCCCGAGTTCAAGTTCAACTCATGCTTGAATCTCCTCGTTGTCCTTGAAAGTGTGGTGCTATTTGACCTCGTAGGAACTATTGTAGGAGTTCGTTGTATTCAAGGTCTTGTAGTTTGAGTTTCCCGTGTGTGATCCAAACTTTGATCTTTGCATGTGTTTTGATCCAAATTCAGTTTCATTCAGACTTGATTCATCAAGTTTACAAGTCCCCACTTGATGTCGTATAGTCTGAGTTCAAAGTGCGAGTTCAACTGCTTTATTCGGATTCGGATCCAGTCCAAATCAAAGTCTTTGTATGATGTTCTAGTCTTGTTCAAGTCCCCTGCAGTCCTTTGAATTCAAGTGTAGGTTCAAATTGGTTTGAGTCTGATTCCAATTTGATTTTATTTCATTTGATTTTGACCTTTAGAAACTATTTAGATTTTGTTCTAAATTAGATCCACAAGTTCACTGATCATCGTACAGGTCCTCTGCTCATTTTAGTTCAATTCTGTGCTCTTCTGTTCAAGTACAGATCTAATATAATGTTGCCCCAAGAAGATTTTCAAATTGTTCAAGTCTTTGTAGATTTCAGTGAAATTTTTCGGCAAGCACCCCTGCATATCCCCCGTTTGGGAAATTGGGAGCTAGGCCTTCCCACCACGCTACTAGAGCGTGTATGGTAGGTTGCCGTAGACACCGCGGCCGTTACAAATTTTTATCCCACCACGTTACAAGAGCGTGTATGGGGCATTCAGCATATCCGTACCAAACAGCAGTGACGTACCAGAACAACAGTGACTCTCCCCCACCGACCTACAAGAGCGTGTATAGGTCTCCTCCTCATCGTATGCATCGCAACCGGGCTCCCTCTACCGTGCTAGCAAGAGCGCGTATAGGTGGTTCCCGGTCCGCTGCAAACGTCGAGAATGGGATTTCGGAAATCATACCTTTCGTAGCAGTGTCGGCGGTGTCGGTGTCGAGGTCGAGGCCGAGGACCGTCCCCACCACGCTACAAGAGCGTGTATAGGCTTACCCGCCCGTCGTATGCTTCGCACTGGGCCTCCCTCCCACCATGCTACAAGAGCGCGTATAGGTGGTTCCCCAGTCCGCTGCAAACGTCGAGGACGAATTTAACTAGAATTATATACCTTTGCGACTCTGGCGGTGGTTCGTGAATCGAGGCAGGCGAAATGTTTTATTTTCTTCTTTTTTTTTAATTATATTAATGTAATTAATTATTAATTTAATTAATTATAATCATCTCTATTTGTTAATTACAATTAATTAGAAATAATTAATATATAATTATTTATATTTAATTAACATAATTAATTATGATTTTTTATTAATCATAACTAATTAATATAAATAATTTAAAATTAATTATATAATTTAATAGATTAATTAATTATAATTAAAATTAATTATAATTAATTATAATAACATTTTTTAATTAAAATGATTATAATTAAGAAACTAATTAATTAAAATTAATTTTAATTAAGATAAAAGGATTTGGCCGAGAATGTGCAGGAAAGGGAGAAAGTCACCTTCACGGTCGGTGAGCTCCCGTTGGCGCTTTGGATCAAATCGAAGGAGCAAAGTCAATCGGCCACAAGGAGTCGGAGAAGGGCGTGAACGGGAGAAGGTTACTTCACGACCAACGAGCTCCCGTTGGCTTTCCGATCAAAATATGTAACTTCCGATCTTGCTAGAAGGGAAAGTCGAGAGGAGCGAAGTCGAGCCCACGAAGGAAGCGAAGAAGCCACGGGAAAGGAAGAAAGTTATTTCAAAGCCGGCGAGTTCCCGTTCCACTTCCGATCAAAATGTCATAACTTCCGTTCCGTCTGGAAGAGGAAGTCGCCTATGGAGCGTAGTCGAACGTCCAAGGAGCTGGAGGAGTGACACGAACGGGAATAAGTTACCTCCCGAACCAGCGAGCTCGAGTTGTCGCTTCCAATCAAACTGTCTTAACTTCCGATCACCGGAAGAAGAGAGAGCGAGAGAAAGAAATGGGATCGGGAGAGGAAGCCAGAAACAGAGGCCTTCGGCCTCTTCTATTCGACTACTTAACGACGCAAATGCGTCGTGCGGGCAACGCGGGAAGAGGGTCGTGCGAGATCGTGGGAGAAGGGACGTCGACGTGCCAGCGATGTGCGATGGACGGCTTCGGACAGCTACGCACGATCTCTTTTCCTCTTTTTGTTTATATTAGGCAGGTCAACAGGAGCTTGACACCACAAATTAGAGACAGCCATGTTCAAGTTCAGGAAAATGGATGATAGCTTTAGGAAACTAAAGATGAACAAGAGGCTAATAAGTCGTTAAAGAACAAACCTTTTATATATTTTAAGAAATATAAAGACAACATTTTGCGACAAACAAGCGTTTAAGACTAACCAGGAGATAAAAACATCGGTGACATGAGAAGGCAATTAATGAGATGAGTGGTTACTACACAACAAATACTGGTTCTAATAAAAATGTCAGCAATAATGAGATTCCTTGAACACAAGTAGCGAACAATTTTTAGAGGCAAGAATCAGCAGAACATACTTATCAAGAAGCCAATAACACCTACGGTAAAAGTTTGGATCATCCTCCCCACGTGCATAGTATACATGGATTCTTTCTTCGTTACCAATCTGTAATAAAAATTTATAGAAAAGGACCTTTGAGGATGCAGATATGCATTTACTTAAAAAATATCATTCTTAGCAACCACTCCAAATTTTCTTAATGTAGTAAAACATATATGTACAAATTCAAACCATAATCAATGAAAAACCTCCCCAGAGTGGAAAGGGGACAACCAATTGAACATGCTAGAGCAGCATAGATACTAAAGGATTGGCTTTAACTTTAAAAAAACAATATATGGAGGTAAAAAAAAAGTAATGTGCACCTTATAATCAAAAACTATTAGTAAGCTTAAAATTTCATCAATATTAATGCAAGTGAACAAAAAGCCTGTACAAAATCCAAAACATGTGTATTTCAACCATACAAAACAGAAATTTCATATGACAAATTTTGGGAATAATACAAGATTATATACGACAAATGTATAAATGCATACATAGGAGTTTGGGGTTGCAGGGAAAAATAAATAACAGTAACTGCTAGTAGAAATCCCTCCACATAAAGCAAACTATCAAACGTTAAAAACTGCGGTTGAAACGATACAAGTCATGCCTTCACAGACCTCCATGTAATGGTATGCTTATTTTCTTCTACCCTGAGTGAAGACAAGCTCAGCGATAACAAATCTGCTGCTATAAATAGTTCCAATTATACCAGTCCTAGATGATAAAAAATTAGGAACCATAGTTTCCATACAGGTGGAAATCCTAAATAAAAATGTGGGACCGTGTAAGAAAGTTTCAGATGAAGTTAAAAGTGTGCTCCGAAAATTCGTGCCCGACCTCTTTGAGACACTTTTTTGTTGACAGAGAAAGTTTTAACAAATTTAGGTCTGAGGTAGATTTTCATAATGCGGATTGGGTTTTAGATAAGATACTACCCAGAGATTTCGCCCTAATTTTGCAAGGACTTTATGATCTGAGTTCTGATTTCTTATAGGCGCAAGCATCTACAATTAATTACCCCTCTTGATAACAAAAAAAAAACTTTCGAGTAAGGCTAATTGTTAAATAGGTCACAATAATTACTAAAAAAATGGCTCCAATTATAGGATTTGAATTTAATATTGGATTTTTTAGTTTAAGATTTGAAATTTATCACTATGTATTTAAAACAGGTCATGAGGGGAATGATGACGGGCCCGATCAAGATCATATGATTCTATCATCCCGCGTTGTCATGGTCCATGGTCTACTTAGTTAGAAGAGGCAGTCATATGATTCTGATCATAATATAGTGGTATCATTTTACAACAAAATCACCCGATCAATAGGTGTAAGGTTCTATTAGCCTATTAGGTATGTCTAAACTATAAAATTAAGTATAAAAATTTATTTCTAAACTTAATTAAAATATTTTGTTATGCTATGATTATTAGATAAAATAGTAAAGTAATTTTAATTAGAATTAATAATTAGTTATTATTTTTATTGAATCGATATTTCCAAAAGAAGTTTTGAAGATAAGATGACGAGGAATAGTGTTAAGTGGGCCCTCTATATTGCCGTGGAATGGGAAAGAATAACCGCATAAAGCAGTTTCACGCAAGCCCTCATAGTGCAAAAATTCGGATATTGCCTGTAGCAGAAATCGCTGTTTTGTTGCTGTAGCAATAGGCGGAACAAGGCTGATTTTCCTGTAGCTTGGTTCAGTGAAATTCAGTGCAGTTCGCAGAAGCCCTTGTAGAGGAAAATCGGCACATGCAAGGAGGGGAATTGGCTCAGTACAGGGAGTAGGGGCAAAGGAATTATTAGGCTATTTGGCTTGGTGTGTAAGAACAATTTCAGTGAGAGAATCGTGGCTGTGGAAGATCTCTAACATTGAGGAAAATTGTTTCGTAGTGGAGTAAGAAACCAAAAGAGTTATGATGTTATAAGTAAAGTGTGCAATTTAGAGGAAGAAGAGAAGGGAGAAGGAAATTGAGAGAAGACAAAAGAGGTAAGCAAATTGTTTGTATGATCATATTTGTAGTTGTCTTTCAGATTTTCATAAAGTTGATAATAGTTCCTAAAGCAAGTATATCAATTATAATTTTAGGATTCATAGATTATATGCAGAAGGGAGATTTTGAAGTTACTTATAATCGTAGAAGGCGTATTAGGGAATTGGAACCGACGTCTCGGAAAGAAGGTAAGTGATACAAATATTTTTAAGAAATATATACCTTATCATTTGATATGTACAATGCTTATAATGGCACTTTGGAAAGTAGTCATGAAAGTAGATGATTTGAGACTATGCATGTTTGATCAACCTTTTGTGAAAGGCCTAGAAAAGAATATACTTACAAGTTTTCAAGTATGATTAACCACTTACATAAATTAATTATGTGAGTTTAAAACAAGGTGTATTATATTCATTTAAATATTTTCTTTATTGATAATGTTTTGGAAAGAGATCATTTTCTTTACTTATTATATGCATAATCATGTTATATAATGAAGGAATAAGAAAGCATGCAATAAGTCTAGTGTGGATAATGAATATGGAAAGTGTACTGAATATCAATTTAAAAGTAAAGTTTGGTTAAAAATTTATGTATAACTTACCAATGCAGGTGGGGCAAAAGGGTACCCATATATTAAACTGTTTGGTGAGTGGGGCGAAAGGGACCCCAAAGAAATGAAACATGCAAAGCAGGTGAGGCAAAAGGGACTCCAAAGAGGCAAAAAGGACATCTATGTAATTCAATGGCGATAATGTCAGGTTTACCTGGGCTCCAATGAATATGTTTATGAATGAGTAGCCAAATATTTTAATGAGTAAAATTGATATCCAGTATGGATGTAAGAGTAATTACTGGGTGATGTCAAATGAGAATTTATGAAGTTTTCTCAAGTAGTTTAACTTTTATTTATGTTTCAATATTCTAAATTTTATAATCCTGCAATTTAAATGTTATTCCAAGTTGCATCACTTATGGAGTCTCATAGCTCACCGGTAGTTTATTACTGACTGTTGTTACATAAAAGGGAAAGGGAAATGTGTAAGAAGACTAATCTGCAAGTATTTACATTATATGTTAATGTTTATTCTATGTTTGAAATCTACTTTTGAGGTTAGTAAGCAGTTTACATGTTGTACTACTTTGAGTTTGTTTGGACTTCCTTAGTCGCTCTGTAAATGTGTTTATTGAGGATTTAATTTGGAAGATGCTTCCGTTGACGTATAAATGGACTTATGGTTAGATGTTTTATATGAAATTTTAGATATAAAAGTTGTATTAAATGTTTTTGAAAGGATAAATGTTTATGTGATGCATGTTAACTCAATGGTACTATTTAGGGATACCGTAGGGGTGTCAATTCGGGTCAGCGAGTCGGGTTCGGGTTGAACCCAGAACTGACCCGGCACTGTTCGGGTCAACCCGAACCCGAGCCGTTTTTAAAAACGGGTCAGGTTTCCAAACCCTAACCCGACCCGATTCGGGTCCGGGTCAACCCGACCTAACACGAATGACCCGAAGTTGACCTAAAATTGCTAATTTTGGGTCAATCTCAGGTTTTCGGGTCAATTTCAGGTTGCTAGGTCAACCCGAACCCGACCCGATTTTTAAAACGGGTTGATTTGTTCAACCCGAACCCGACCCGTTTCGGGTACGGGTTGACCCGAACCCGGATTTTTCCTGGTCGTGTTTCGGGTCATGTCAAAAATTGACACCCCTAGGATACCATGAGGTGTTACAATAGGGCACATGTCACATCCCTGTTGGCGATGAATCAACTGAGAATGAATTATAGTAATACATTCCACAAGACGTCTGCTCTTTGAGAGCTTAAGTTATTTTTAATTCATCATCCTCGCCAAACCGTTGCGAAGTGTGGATTGATTTTAGTTTTAATTTTTTTATGATTAAACTTTCATATAAATGTTTAAAATTTGATAAATATTGGATTTTGAATTGTAATAAGCTTTTAGAATTAACCCATCCAATTGAGATTTACATTCAACACAGTCATCATCAGGGTGATTTTACAATCACTTTAAAATATTTATTTTTCTATCAGTGTTCATATATATTTGAAAGGCAAGGTCCCCTTCTGATTGAGGTTTCTTTTCTCAACACGGCCACATCAAGGTGTTTGAACACAATTAGCGAATCTGGGAAGCATTCTCAGATCTTGTATTTTGGAGCATGGCATAAAGATCGGAGCACATGCGGAATTTGTTTTAACATATAGATTAGAGGTATTGTCAAGATGTTTGAATGTTTTTAGCCAATCCATGAAGCATTCTCATATCTCACATTTAGAAGCTTAATGTATTGGGAGGCATCTTAAAAATATGGGAACCCCTTCGGTTAAGATTTATATACATAGGGTCATCATCGAGGTTCTTGAGCTTTTTTATCTCAAATCTTGCATTTAAGAGCTTGATACAAAGATCGGAGCACATGCGGAACATGTTTTAAGTTTGATTAAACATCCCTTGTCAAATTTAGCAATTTAAATTTGATCATATGAATATGGATGGAAGGAAAGAAGGTACAAGACACTCATTTAAGGTTATTAAAATCATTTAGCACTCTTTTATGAGGTGAATCAATAAAGCAGCCCTATTAATTACTTAAATTCTTACTTATCATCATTTGTCTGGTTTTTTTTAATGTCTTTTACATTTTGCATCCAATGTAGCTCTAAGTAGTGTGTCCACAAGCCCTAAACTACTTGATCTATTAAATCAAATCAATAAGTAATCTGAAGGGCCCAATTCACTATTTCATTGGCCTTATATATCGGCATAACCACTTCTGTTATTCCAAAACAAGCATCATCAATTATTCAAGGACTTCCTTTCAAAGAAGACATGATGTATTTTATCCTCAGGACGACAATACCCATGATCGATGGGAACGAGCACAATTCGTCCTTTTTCTCCCTCTTTGCAAAACAAAATATTTTCATCAGGCCTATTTGCATTAGTCAATCTTATATCTAACACAGTGATCTTATGAATCTCCTCCACAGGAAAAGCTCTTGGACCCGTATCCTCACAACTACAA